GAAGTTTGTGAAGGACAATTTCGTCTACTTTGGAGAGCCAATGGCGTTGATGCTGGCGGCATTGTACAATGCAATCTGCGCCACCATACTGTGGGTCTTCACAGTGTACGGAATCGGTTTGGGTGTGTGCTTCAGCATCAGCGCCGGTTGCGCCATCTTGCGCATGTCCGTGGTCTACGGATATCTTTGTAGATGGAAGAACCCTTACTTGACACTTGAGGATCAGGAAGCTCGAGTGGCAGACGCGGCCAACATGGCACGCGCAGGAGAGGTCATGACTTAAGGAGAGCTTCCAGGGTGTATGGCTGGCTGCAAGGCTGAGGAAATCTCGCTATGGCCAGACTAAAGAAGGCCCATCAGATTGGTTTCACATGATTTCACCATCCTCTGTGAATGGCAGAGGTGCTACCACAGTGCTAGTGCTCAGACAATAATAAGATCCGATCGTATCCGATCGAGAAATGACTGGTGTTTGATGGCTTGCATTTTGTGAGCAACCCCTCTCCAACCAATTATTCTGATATGATCCCATTGATATTTCATGTTTTGCTGGTGTTTGTGTCAGAAGTCTTCAGGATAAACCTTCGGTACGGACACCCGGTACGGTGCAATGGGTGCACGTGAGGTAGTAGGTAGGGGCAGGTAGCACATGTTTCAAGACGGATTCGCTTAGAGTTATGTAACCCCAATAGCAATGGCCTCCAACCAAAGAGCGATGGCCTCCAACCTAAGAGCGATGGTCTCCAACCTACTAGCGAAGGCCTCCAACCTAAGAGCGATGGCCTCCAACCTACTAGCAATGGCCTCCAACCTAAGAGCGATGGCCTCAAGCCTAAGAGCGATGGCCTCCAACCTAAGAGCGATGGCCTCCAACCTGAGAGCGATGGCCTCCAACCTACTAGCGATGGCCTCCAACCTAATAGCGATGGTCTCCAACCTACTAGCGATGGCCTCCAACCTAGAAGCGATGGCCTCCAACCAAAGAGCGATGGCCTCCAACCTAGAAGGGATGGCCTCTAACCTAAAAGGGATGGCCTCCAACCAAAGAGCGATGGCCTCCAACCTACTAGCGATGGCCTCCAACCTAAGAGCGATGGCCCCCAACCTAGAAGCGATGGCCTCCAACCTAAGAGCGATGGCCTCCAACGTAAGAGCGATGGCCTCCAACCTAAGAGCGATGGCCTCAAGCCTAAGAGCGATGGCCTCCAACCTAAGAGCGATGGCCTCCAACCTGGGAGCGATGGCCTCCAACCTAGTAGAGATGGCCTCCAACCTAAGAGCGATGGCCTCCAACCTACTAGCGATGGTCTCCAACCTAAGAGCGATGGCCTCCAACCTAGAAGCGATGGCCTCTAACCTAAAAGGGATGGCCTCCAACCTACTAGCGATGGCCTCCAACCTAGAAGCGATGGCCTCCAACCTAAGAGCGATGGCCTCCAACCTAAAAGGGCTGGCCTCCAACCTACTAGCGATGGCCTCCAACCTAGTAGAGATGGCCTTCAACCTAGTAGAGATGGCCTCCAACCTAAGAGCGATGGCCTCCAACCTACTAGCGATGTCCTCCAACCTACTAGCGATTGCCTCCAACCTACTAGCGGTGGCCTCCAACCTAAGAGCGATGGCCTCCAACCTAGAAGCGATGGCCTCCGACCAAAAAAAGGGCTGGCCTCCAACCTACTAGCGATGGCCTCCAACCTAGAAGCGAAGGCCTCCAACCTAAGAGCGCTGGCCCCCAACCTAAAAGGGCTGGCCTCCAACCTACTAGCGATGGCCTCCAACCTAAGAGCGATGGCCTCCAACCTAGAAGCGATGGCCTCCAACCTAAGAGCGATGGCATCCAACCCAATAGCGATGGCCTCCAACCTAAAAGGGATGAGTGTGAGTGTGGTCCAAACTTTCAACATCTTGATGATGCCCAAATCTGAAGAAAACGGTTTGCTGGAATGCGACTCAACATGAAAGGAATTTGACACCCGCCGTTCGTTTGGCATATGTTTTGCATGTTCTGAGTTCGGTATCTTGGCAATGCTTTTCAAATGTGCTGGAGTGGGCATGAGCCAGAATGATATGCTTAGGGAAGACGTACTTGACCGTCGGCCACGCCTGAGAGCAACTGTCAGATCGGCACAGATAAAAAAAGAGAAAAACAACAAAGTTCCGTGCTGTTTGGGAAGGGATTGGCAATATTAGACCTTTCTTCCTTTTCTGCGTCTTTGTTTCTAATAGCGATGGCCTCCAACCTAATGGCAAACTAATTATATTAGACCTATGGCATAGGCACTGTAGCATCTTGAAATAAATCCAAGCAACCAGGGAAGTGGCGTAGGGAAGCCGGCGCATGCCAGCACAAATGCCGCTGGTGACACCGTCAAGGTCATGACCTGCCTGGAAGCAACCATCAACCTCCCGGTGATTCATTGACAATTGATCCAGAAAACCGGATTTCTCAGTATCAGCCGGAACTCTCACAGGCATTCCCGGATTCCAAAGTGATACTACATGACTTGCAAGACGACTTTTGCTGGCAAATTGCTGCATGCTCCTGTGTACTCCAGGACCTTGGCTCAAAGCCAAGGGCGTGGACCCATTTTGGGGCGGCTTTACATGCGCAAAGAGAGGCAAATTCCAAAGCTCAAAGAGATAAACATCAAGTTATTTGCTTGAGACCTGAGCCACACCAACAGGATGAAACTACAAAGAACATACCTCCTTAATGGTTATACAACGGTTAACATTTTGAATAGTGCATTGGCTCTTTGCAACCTCCATTGCTCAACGGCAGCTGTGAGCTCTTTTGTGTTTAAGCCGATCATTCCGCAATTCCAGACATCCCACTATATCCCACACAATTTCATGTGACTTGATCCAAGATTGACCGTCGAGCATGGGTGGCTGTGCATCTGGTGGGAAGAAGGATGACGTGGTCGACTTTACTTCGCCCAAGGCGAACGGTGCCTTGGACGTCATTGCATAGGGCATCGCTACTACAACGGGCATCGCTACTAGTAACAAGGGCATTACTAGTAGTAACAAGGGCATTAATTATAACACGTCTTCTTTTGTACTAAAGTCTGTTTCATTACATTCGAGACGAAGTTCATTACGTTTGAGACCAAGCGCTGGTGTGCCAGGGAAATGGTTTTTTGTTTGAGACGCCCGTGGGGCCCCTGGAGCCGGTGGAGCGTGCGGGGCCGAGGTATGGTGGCGCCCTCCGCCGAGGTCATCGTGCAAGACTTTTCCTCGCTGGTCATCCTCAGCCTTTGGGACGGAGTTGGTGGGTTTTGGGATGGTTTGGGGGGTGTGAGCCATGAAGCGGGTGGATTTGCCAAATGAAGGTCCTCCAGAAACAAGTGATGGGACCCAGGAAGTTCACCGACAATTGTGGTTCTTCCAGTTTCTGGCCGTTTGGAGGCGAGTGGGGACGCCCTTTTCCCACCTTTTTGATTTCAGAGATTACCTGGAGGGTTAAAGTCCGCTGGAGGCTGAACAGAGCATGGCGGTTGTATGCCCCGTGGTTGTCCTAAAGTGGCAATCATTGAAGCAAAGCACAGCGTACCACTGCAATGGCCTGCAACGACCAGCAGTTGGTGTCGGTTCCTCGCACGAATGCGTGCTGGGTGAGGCTTACGATGCGAGGGCTTGCAGAAAGGCAGAAGCTTGGGCGGCTCCAGGTTGCTTGCTGTGTTGCATGTTTGAGGTGGGCCTTTAGATGTTTCCAAACAGAAAACCATCATGTCACAAAGATCACCCCCAACCATCAGCCCATGACCTACACACTCCCAGCTACAGATGAGAAAATGCAATGTGGAAGCAAGGAAGCAACAAAGGCATGGAATCACAGTTGCATGAAAGGGCTGAAAGGGCGTTCAGCACCGTTTCCTGTAGGGAACATGGCTCAGGGATGAAGTCTCCAAAGATCTCAGAAGTGTGAACCTTCCAGACTGCTCGGGAGCCATCCAGACTGCGTAGCTCAGGAAATACCGTCGCCGTGGTGTACTCCAAATTGGGAACTGAGGACCTTTGGATGGAGCGCCTTGCAGATGATAAACCCCACAGGTGAGGAAGAAGAATTGCACACAGAGACTTATTTACCCTTGCTTCTAGATTGGAGGCCATTCCTATTAGTAGTTAGGTTGGGGGGCTACAATAGCCCACCAGTCTTGCCGATTTTCTGGATATGGCCTGCAACTGGTGTGCTTTGTGTCGTCAACGGCCTACAACGTGCTGTTTGGCATGTTCAATGGGTTCCGAGAAGCAGACAGTTTTAGATGGACAATGATCCCTACTAGCTGGTACTTGCGCTTCTCTACCAAGCAATCAAGGATACCTCCATCTACCCATTACCCCTAAGCAGGTGTTTGCCTTCCAAAGAGTCAAACCTTGTTGTTTTCCTCACCAGATGTTCAAAGATTGCCAAACGGCTAAGGTACGGCACCACGGAGATTTGTGGACAGGAGACTTGGAAGTGGCAAGTACCATGGTGTTCCGTGTATTTTGTGTCATGTTAATTCATGTTGGAGGTCTTTGTAGGAGCCCACAATGAGTTCCAAATACCACAAGCACCTTGAAACCAACATGCGTCTAGATGGGTCCAAGAGCACACAGCTTGTCTCAGATCTCCTAAGCACATCGATTGCAACGTGCAGGACACCCGATGGCCAGTCTGGGAGCGGATGTTCGAGTTGCAGTTTAGGATCGCAGCTCGGATCAAGATTTTCGGTCATCCGTTTGTTCCCAGATTAGATCAATTTTTCGGAGGTGTTTGGCTGGTCATTTGTGATGAGTTTTGCAAGCATTTGCCTCAAACTGAAGCTGAGGAACACGTGCGCTTAGTGCGTGTGGAGATTTATGTTATTAGATGCTGGGTTGCACTTTTTCAGTCTCGGACTTGGAAGGCCAACTAAGCCGAACTTTGAAGCTGTTTGGTGGAGTGTGTGAGCCGCTGACCATGGTCCGTCGGTTTCATTGGAGTTTCGTCATCGATCTCAGGAAATCAAGAGATGCATGAAGATCTGATGGAACAAAAGTTCGTCGGATCAGCTGAATTCAATCTCGCTGAAGCGGTGTATGCCAGATCCCATACCAAGAATCACGGCTGGCTGAAGAGGAAGCTGGAGAATATCAAGAGGAGATGGGGAGGGTCACGGTCGGGGTGCCGAATGCATTTTAGCTTCAGCAGGAACACCCAGATAGCACATTTGGGCACAATAAGATTCCATGATGCAGACTAGATTCCGAACATTCCGATTGTGACGCAGCCACTTTCCGGCTGTGGTTTTCTGACTCGTGGTCCCTTTCGGAATGGGAGGAAGCCTCGAGACCCGCCCATTGGGAAGCTCTTCATCTACGCGGAAGAATCGGTGAACGCCAAAGCAGCTGCCTGGATGGGTCGGTGGTGTGGGTTGATGGTGGGAGACATCCAGCCGAAGAGGGGGCGGGTGGCGGGTGGTTGGCATATCTAACAGCCAGAGGAAAGCGGCAAGGCATGTGGAGAGTCACATGCGAAGTTGTGACTCAAGTGATGATGGCCCAAAGGGGGCCGGTGTGGACATGGTGGTTTGTTTCGCAGATCATTCCACTATTGGGCTAGTGAGATGCAGCAGGTCGAGTGTCCAATGAGACCTGGTGGTGCATCCTTGTCATGAAGTGGCAAACAGAAGGACAGAGAATAGAGGATATCAAATGATATCATGCCAACCTAATTGACATGCGGCACATGCGGTGAGGAAATCCAAGTGTCTTGAGCCACTGAGGAGTTGAGCTTCTCGGTGAGTGGGCAGGATCTGAAGCCCACGGATTTCTGGAAGCGGAAGTGTGATCCCTATTTCGTGGTGAATCGAATCCAGGCGAAAGATCCACCTCTCTTCCTGGGGCGAAAGATCCTCCAAAAAGTTCGCCAGAGACATCAGCCGCAAAGTCACATGGGACTTCAAGATTGAAGTGAGTTCAAGAAGGGGCCCTGGCTTTTGTTTAGGCAATCCTGCAGCCTTAGTATTAGTGTCCTTTTTTCCCGCCACATCGACCAACCTGTGTATGTGCCCTTTGCTTGCTTCAGGACCCGTCTCTACAATGCAGTGTGTCAGCACATGAAGAAACCACAATGTCACCCAATAGAAGAGATGGCTGAAGATGGCAAGGAAACACAATGAAACAAGTTTCGGGCAGGGCAGCAAACAGAAGACAGTCATTGATGTCCAGCCAAACTCATGCAAAATTGCAGCATAAATTGATGACATGCGCGAAGATGCGCTAAGTAAAGCTGCCAATTGACCGGACAAACACACACAGACAGAATTTAAGAAGGAAAACGATGACACTGATGATTCTCTGAGAGGGCAAGGAATTGAACATGTTGAACTTTCTAAGACTGGTGAGGAAGATGCGAAAAGATTCAAAGGGCTCAACTAGCATAGTCAGCACCAGCTCTTCCAAAGCACTCGCTCATTTGCCACAAGGGTGTCCTCAGTGTGTTAAAACTCCCTCCATTTAAGATCAGCAAACCCAACACGAACACCAAACGAACGAAGCAGGAAACGACATGCTCGTCGACTCACACCGGGAGGCCGTCTACGAGTCTGGCGAGATCGTACTGCAACCGATCTTCCGGAGCGAGGTGGCGCGGAAGAGCTCCGAGCCCAGCTTCGAGGCGCCGCGAGCGGTAGGACGTGGTCTGTGGCAGGAGATCGGGTGTAGGTTTGGGGCGTCTGAGCTCCGTGGCGGAGGATTCCTCAGATTTTCAGGCTCTGAATTTGAAGTTTCTTGGGAGTTTGGTGGGGAAGCCGTGAGAAGATATGGAGGAGTTTGCCAGCATTGAACAGCAACCTGCTGGACAGGGCCATGTGTTTAAGCGCGTTGCGGCTTCGCAGTCGCACCTCAATTGCACAACTCCTTGTCAGGATTCATACCAGCATCATGTCCCTATCCAAGAGCAACCCCGGACAGCTGTTCTCGTGCAAGCCAGACGCAAATGTGAAACTCTACGGGCCAAAGGTTAAAACAAAAAGAACTTGAGCAGAGGTAAATCGATGACAGATGTTAACCTCACACTTGTGCGAATCTCCTGCCAATATGACATTCAGCGCCGATCACCAGGAAGCTAGCTTCACAGTTGCGCAGACCAGTGGCTGCGATACTGGCCAAGACATTATCATCACAGTGTCTTTGAGCAGAGATTCCGCACAGATATTGTTATACGAGTTTTGAATTCCGAGTTGGACATGTTCTGAGGTGCACGACTGGATCCGGCTTGGGAACCATGGGTATATTGGCGAGTTTGTTACTACCTTTGAGGACTGCCGAGATGCAATCATTACTTTGTGTATAGGTACCCGATGCTTATGCCATCTAATGAGTGCCTGTCCCTTGGGCATGACACTGCTTGGGCCATTCTGCCAACAACCTGGATTGGGCTTCCTGCTTATCAATGATTTCAAGGCAAGCAGCAACACAATGTAATAATGCAACACACATACAATAACCGTTTTTTTGACCTGATCAACCAACACTTCATTGATCATTGAGGAGCTGCAAAAGATCGTTGGCCGGGGCAATCCGCACACCTTTCCCATCTACAAGAGAGAGGGTCCAAGGACGTTTGGTCAAAAAGAAGTGTGCAAAGGATGGTATTGATGGATTTGATTGGATCTTAGTCTTAAGTGTCGATGGTTCAGATTTGGACTTGCCCCAGGATTTTCTGCACTGAGCACACATGAGTTGGCGTTTGTGTCTTGAGATGTGGAAAGTTTGCCACGGATTGGATGCCAGGATCGCGGGAATGACTCGGCTACCGACCACCAAGACCATGCTAAAGAATGGGAGAACTAGTAGCCGCACAGGCTCCGGCTCGAGGAGAAGATGGGAGGGCATTGACATTCGGCTTAGCAGTTCGTTTGGGATGGACGCAGTGAGGTAAGCCAAAGGGTCCGACCCCTTGTCAGAGCCCCAGCACAAAACAAATCCAAGCAGAGTAAAGTGCAGTGCGTGCTTGAGAAACCTTCGTGCTTCAACACCTGGAGCTCTACCTTCAGGAGGTTCATGTTGCTGTCCCATTGGCTTCCAAAAAGGCGGCTAAAACCCACCCGGAAAAATATGCGCCACACCTGTTCGTTCTTTCCTTTCGCATTGGCACCGGGTCGGAGGAGCACCACTCGTAGCACCTCCGGCGAAAAAGCGGACCGCGACTCTGTGCAGCGCACTTCATCGACGATCGGGAGGCGCTCTGCACCAGCCAGCTCCTAGTAGCTTCTTGTTACTACTAGTAAGGCACTTGTTACTAGAAGCGATGCACTTGTTACTAGTAGCTTCGTGTTACTACTAGTAAGGCACTTGTTACTAGAAGCGATGCACTTGTTACTAGTAGC